ACCCTCCATCCAAAGACCTTCATTATAAATGATGGTTGTGAGGCTAAGATGCCAGGATTCTTAAGTGCCTTCTACATTACTGAAAGGCCAGTTATTCTCTGCAGGCTGGTTCCACAGGATTTTATCAGCAGCCTGTGATAACAGGAGCTCCACAGCTGAGCACTCAACTGGGAAGAGCTGGGAGCCTTGACCTTTAAATGAAGCCAAGGGTACAGTTCAGAATTCCTCTTTGGGACCCAAAAGAAATTACAAATGAGATCCTGAGGAAACCTGTGATGGATTATATTTTGAGAACTAGCTTTAAGTAAGGCTCTTGTCTTCTTTTCACATATCGCAGTAAACAGCATGAGTGAAGATTTTTGTTTTTAAAGGCAAGTACTGAGGAGCTAGGTGGGGCAGAGAAAGCTAGGGTCACTAAGGTTCTGGGCCATCTGGGAATCAGGTGAACAGATCAGGTGATGAGGGAGTGAACTCATAGACAAGCGCCCACACTAATGATCTTTAGGTCCTTTCCATTTTAAAAATTAGATATGTTTGAAGTTAGAAGCACTGCAAAAGTATAAGCTTAAAATTTTATCAGCTACTGAACAACAAATACAGTTAGTTAGCAAACTTTAAATAGCTTAAAAATAAATAGAAAAACACTTTATGAGATGAATCAGCATCTCAAAAAAAATTTCACTCAAAAGAAGCTGACAGTTATATATAAAAAAAAATTTGACAGAAGAGTTATAATTTTCACCTTTAAGCATGTTTATAATGCTTAGAAATGTAGCATTCTACAGAAATGGAGTTTAAATTACTGCTGTTAATGTGTATAGAATCACTAAGATTGCATAGAAGATACCAGGGGTTTTCAAAGTGTGGTCACAAGATCAGCAGCATCAGCATCACCAAGGAATGTGCTAGCAAGGAAAATTCTGGGCCCTGATCTCCTTATCAGGAACTCTGTGGGTGAGACCCTGCAACCCCTATTGCACAAAACCCTCAGGTTCTGGTACACTTCACGGCTGGAGCATCACTGATCTAGAGATCAAACTGCCTGAAAACTGAGTTCTGGTTAAAAACCATGATTTCTGTAAGAAATATACAGGGTGGGACAAAACTAGGTTTACAGTTGTTCATACGGAAAATACTTAATAAATAATAATCCAATAATAAATTCTGTGTTTTTCATATTCAAAACTGTAAACCTAGTTTTGCCCCACCCTGTAATTTGAAAACTATAGCAAGGAACTATGCTAATGGTTTATTCTGTTCCTTCCTGATCAAATAATTTTAATAGGTTAAAAAAGAACAAGGAATGAAACACAACTACTAGTATGAACACCGTATGTATTAAATTATATACCTATGGCAAGATAGTGTTTCTCTACCAGAAACAATGTGTTGTATGAGAAAAAATTAGTATCTACGTAATACTGTGTGATATAAGTATAACCAAAAAGGTGTTGTCTTGGGATCTTTAATGTCTTACAGATGAAAATGGCTTTCTACTACAGGCTGATGCTATAAAGCCAGTCATCTTTACAGACCTTGTCCTCGTGCCCTGTCACTTTCTGAATAACCTTTTCAGAGATGGGGGATGTAGCAACTGGAAAAATAAAATACTGACAACTTAACCAGCTCACCAGAATTCTAGTTCTGGTTATTCCTAAGTGAAAGAACAGTCTTCTTACCATACTCAAGGAGCAATTGTGGACAAATAAAGTATAAGGATTTATGATGGGCATACAAAGGACAGGGAGGAATTGTGAATTTCCTAGATTTAATGAGCTATGATTAGCAGGTAGCGGTATGATAATTAAATATAGAGAACGGGAAATGATACTTTCATTTTTAGCTAAGGATACATAACAAATACAGATGAAAGGAGAACAAGGGAGGAAGAGAGAGAAGATGAAAGAACTCGAAATAGTAGGGATTGTGATTCAGGACAGGAAAAAACCATGGCAGGATCATTTGGTTACTTCATTCATCCCTTTATAAAATGTGTTATGTAACAGATGCCTCTGAAACACCCAACACTTCACTGATACTGGATATCACAGGATGTGGTAATGTTTTTGTTTGTTTTTCCAAAATATGCATTTCTTCCCCACAAAAGTACACATTTCCCAGGACTCAGATTTGGATATATTTTTATCTTTCAAAACAGAAAAATAGTAAATATTTTTAAATGCAAAATTATCATCAAATAAGAGTCTAGCTTATTTATATTGGGATCACTTAGGCTATCTTTAAAAAAATGACATACATCTTGAAGATGCACTCTAAGAAAGCCACTGAGCTTATTATTCACAGTTCAGGAGTCCTGAGGTAATCTCAATCAAAGGAAAGTTCCAGGCCCAAAGACTTCAAGGAAAAAAAAAAAAAAGGAAATTCAATGAAGAAGCCGCTGAGTCCCACAGAAATGCTGCAGCCATCCGAAACATTTCCGACCCCCACACACTGCAATGTGCTATGTTAAATTTTGAACCCCAGCCCTCATGTTGGCCTGGCAATGACTTAAGAGGCCAGGCTCTCATCTTAGAAATGCCAAATGAACAGGAAAAAAGACAAAGGAGGAGAGGAAAGGAGATGAGGGAGACACCCGCAAGAGGCAGAGGCAGTGGATGGCAAAAAAAGTAGTAAGTAATGGATTTGTCCCTTTGTCCATCTAGACAGTTCCACAACAGCTGCAGATAACAGCTGGGAATATACCTGGTTATGAGCAAGAAGAGCAGCCAACCTGGCCCACTTCTGCTGTCAGGGGAGAAGCAGCAACATGTCTTAAGAGTCCCTTGTAGCATCCCTTTGGCATAAGGCAGGCATAAAACAGCAGGAAACGCCACATGTCACAGCAAGATCCATCAGGACAAGCAGCCCTGCACAAAATCAGGCCACATGGCAGTCTTCAGACTAAAGGTGCCACTGTGGGTGTAGAGCTGATGCAAGTCCCAGCCAAGCCCGTTCTGCTCCCACAGCCCTAGGCCCCAAGCACACTATTAGTGTGTTGCAGCTTGCTCTAAGTTAAAACAGAATACAAAACAAATAGAAAGTCCCCCATACAAAAAAAGTTTAAAATAAAATGTAAACAATGTTTCCATTACATAGAAACTTAGCTTATTCTCTAGTAATGTTGGACAAATAAGACACTGGAGCATATTCAAGTTCTGGAACCCACATAATACAAGTATCCCTCCCAGTCCAGAAGGATTTGGTCTCTGAGTTCAGACAGTGACAACTGCCTGAATGTACCTGTCCTGTGGAAAAGGAATAGGTTCTCCTTAAGGCCAGCAACCTGTAGGACGCTGTTCTCACCTACCCTCTTTCTGAGGACTTTCTTTTTCTCAAGTATTAGCCAGAAGCAACAAATAATGGAGCCAATGTCTCCACACTGTGGGGTTGCTTTAACTTGTCTCTATTCTAAGACATCTCTTCAAATTCAAATTTTCTAAATCAAGATTATACTTTTTGATGCTGAATTACACTTATTCCTTAAGGGTTCTGGGTTAATCACTTTACATTATAATTGGTTTTCTAGGGCTTCCTCTGAATTTCTACTTAGAAGAGTTAAACATGCTGTCGTATTTAATTCTCTTAAGCCTCAAACATGATCAAAAGGAAGCTATGCACAGAGGTTACGTCACGTAAGAACAATTTGATATGATGTCTTGCCAGGAATGATAAACTCCGGTGACTGGATAAGAAAATCTTAAAGTTCAGATTTCAGATGTAGCTATAACATTCAGACCCAATATGCTTGCTGCCCAAGCACAGCAAGGGGGCCACTAACTCCATGAGCTCTCTACACCATAACCGGGTCTGATTTCCACCACTATGAGGCTCCGCCCTCCTCAAAAAAGAACACATCACAGTTGCCTCTTGAGTGTCTGGAGGGGAAAAACATTTCTATAGCCTTAGTTCCTTGCAGATCAACGAACATGAGTCTTGAATATGCACTCACTTATTGTGGCCATCAACATTTCCAGAGGACAATTACAGTGCATAGGACATACTTACCAGTTGTATAGTGTGAATTTAAAAAATTAAATTGAAGAATGCCAGAACCAATACAATGTAATCACAATGAAATCGACAGAGCTCTTTGTTTTTTGAGGGGCCTGGGGAGTCGTACTGTATGGATGGCGTATTTACAAAGAGTCCTACAAAACCAGTTGAGTATTTCCATAACACACATATGCACATATGCATGTGTGCACACACAGGCTAGGCTACTTCATGGGATTCTGGCCCAGTTCCTCCTCATAGGTTCAGGCATGTACCTAAAACACAGACCTCAAATTTCTCTACTGCTGGAAATGGACCTGCTCTAAGTCAGGTGGTCTCAGACTTCTGATTCAGTTCACACACACAAACTCATCTCTCTCTAGAACTGCATTTTTCTTTTCAATTTTGTTCATACGTGCTTCAAAAGCTTTTCAGAGATGAACTCAGCAATGCTGCCTGTGGCAGAGATGACCTTGGGATTATATACATGGTTTATAAAGAAAAACCAACCAGCCAACAAAAGGCTGTGTCAGAAACCAGGTTCGCTTCTGGCTGCAAAGAGCTGACATGTGTGGGACCCAGAATGGAGACAGTTAACCAACAGGACCTTGGAGGGAAGGGTCATTAACAGAATGGGAAACGGGGAGAGAAAATGATGTTTAGGTCTGCAGAAAAGAGGAAAATCTTAGTAAAGAGGCAAAACCACCGTCATGAAGTAAAAGTATTTACTTTCCCTAACATCCGCAAGACAAGATGTCTCCTGGGGCATAAGTGGCAATGAGGGACAGGTGAGTCACTACACTCAAAGCCAACTTGGGTATACTACAGAGGGGCATCTTATACAGGTAATATAGACCAACTGTATTCTTCTATTTCCAGTCTGTTCACACAATCTGAAAAGGGATGCCACACATTGTTCAATATATACACATCCACACACACATATTTACTGTTTTCTCCTGGAACCTCCCTGGCTTGGGCAGACCTTGCAAACCCAGGTCACTTACCGAGGACTCACTGTCCCTAATGAGGAAATCACCCTCGCGGCCCCGTTCGTTGAGGGCACATTCGGCCTGGTGGCGTGTCACGTTCCCGTAGTACCACTCTCTGCCCGCGAAGCGCCCACTACCCGCGGGCCCCGGGTAGCTGATCTGAGGGGCGTGAGACGGAGGCAGGGCCGGCCCATCGCTGAGGACCACCACATAGTTTTTGGGGACCAGGCCGACCTGCCCCCGGGCGTTTTTGCATTTCCACCACTCCGGGTCGTTTTCCGGCTTCTCAATCACCTCCATGGTCTCCCCTTTCTCAAAGTTGAGCTCCTCCTCAGTGACGGAGCTGAAGGGGTACAGCGTCTGGACCACATGCAGGATACGGGCGCCCTGGCCATTGCTCAGGGACGCACCCTTCCGCAGACTCAGGAAGCTGGGGGACTCCGCGGCTGCCTCGTCCACCTCCTCCAGGACGTAGTTAGAGGGAAACCAGCCGATCTGCCCGTTGTAGCTGCCACGCCACCAACCATCGCTGCACTTCTCCATGACAGTGACACGCGACCCCTTCACCAGGGACAGCTCGTCCTCCCTCTCAGCCACGTAGGCGAACTTGACGAAGGCAGGGATGTTGAGATCGTAGATGCGGTCTGCACCGCCCCCGTTGGCGGGGTACTCCGAGTCGGTGCTGGGAGTTGGGGATGCGTCCCTTGCGCTAGTCTTCCTCTTGGTCTTGCCGAGGCCTGTGGAGACACAAGGACCCAGTGGGCACCGGCACGTGCGGCAGGACGCCATTGGGCATCGTTAGGACCCTGCTGCCAACTCCTTGCCCATAAAATTCAAGGGGACAAATCCACCTTGGTTACAAACTTAAGATCACTGTCAGAAAAGTCACATGTTGATGGCTGCCATGTGCAGCTTGCCAAGTGACTAAAAGCTGAGAATTACAAAAACTGACCTCTTTGCTTGACTCTAAAAAATGCCAGTGTACAAGCAGCACAAAAGATAACCAAACAATGGAAAGTCAGTTTCCTTCTGGAATGATTACAGAATTCCTGTGCCACTTGAGAGAGAAAAATAAGCTATGAAGGCACAGACAAGATGTCTTCACATTGCTGTACTGGGCAGGAAACTGGATTAAATGAGCTCAAAAGACCTGTTCTAAGGAGGTTGAGAGCTCAGCAAGCAGCGCTGCACCGGGCTCCCCGACCTGCACCCACTCAGGCCCGTTTACCCTCTCCTCTCCCAGGCACTGTGCCCTCCCAGGGCTGCCCCATTAGGCAGAAACCCATACCCTTCTCCTTTCTTCTCGTCTTGCAGTTATTTTCTCTCAAAACGGAAGGCTCATTTCCCACAACAGGTTGTGATGAGTGAAAAATTAGCTGATACATTAACTCCAAGGCAGAATTTTTCTTACTGTGACTAAAAACTCACTAGTGGATCATAAAATCAATTTCATGGGTTGGGAGCAGACTATATGTATGTACTGCCCCCCCTACCCCTGGAGGGGGAATGAAATACAAAATTTTAAAGTGCATCAAACCCAGTATTGTTGCTTCAGTTACGTATGTGAGGGGTTGCAATGTGAAAATTATTTCTTCCCATGCATAAATTTGAAAAGCCCGAAGGCAAAATGCTTTAACCTGGTTAAAATCCACAGAATTCTGGAACCTTTTCGAGAAATGAGTCAAGGAGAGGAAAGCACGTCGGCCCCCAGGGCTGAGGTGTGCCACGGGACCGGTTAGGGCTACCTGTCTACATCCTAACTTAGTCAACATGGAGACTATGATGGTATGGAAACTGAAGCCATTTGCAGATTTTTAATTTAATTTTATTTTCCAAAATGACATAAAGCATTTTAATGGGTAGCTTGTACCCCACTCTCCTTTATCCCTAAAAGTGGAGTAAAGACAGAATGATCCTGAGGATTGCCTTTGTTTTTGGTCCCTTGCTGAGCAGGTAGTTCAGGAGGAATAAAATGCTGCGTCGTGGCCATCCTGTACTGTGGACATCTGGGCGCTGCCTCATACAGTGGACATTCCCCAGGCCAATGATTCTGCTGCCCTGGGACACAGGCCCAGGTCAGCGCCACCCGCAGGGTGAGGCCAATAAAAGGCACTCAAATGGCACATGTGAGGTGATAGCACACTGACGCGAAGTGGTTTCAAGTCAATAACCAATTCCTTAAGCGAACCACTCTACGCTTCCTTTTTGTGTCATGACAAGTATATGCACATACATGGAAAATACAGGAAGGAGGCAGGATGTTAGACCAAGTAAAAAATTTAGATTTCTACTTAAGAGTTAAACTGCTTTACATGGAAACATGAACCTCTAAATCTTGGAACAAGTCCTTTCATGGGATTTCCAACCTAGGATGGTTTCACTGAGTAGTGAGAGAGCACTGTGATGATTCCATGGCTTCGTGATCCGGAAGACAAGGCAGCTCATGAAAGGAAGCTCCATCCAGAAGGCGCAGGCACTGCCAGCCTCGCAGAGTAGCCCGTGCACTGAAGCACCACAGCAGAAATGACCAGGTGGTCCACTTTTCATTTGTAACAAAGATTTCAAAAAAAATGTAATTTAAAAGTAACTGTTTATTAGACCCTTTCAAAACTTTTAACACAAGCCACTGAAAAAATACGCATGGAAGATCAAGTTTTAGAATATTCACCAGGACATAAAAGTGTCAAGGTCAGCAGAGCAGACATTAGACCTTAGTATAATACACTGTTGAAGACACTTTACAACTGGTTTATGAAAGAATATACTACTTTGTCTGCTCACTTTGTTTTCAAACACAAAATAATTTAATTACTTCAGCCATTGAGTTCCTGCCAGATACCATCCTAGACTTTGGGGAGAGTGAGATAAAAGAGGCAGGCACACTCCCTGCCTGTATGGAGTTTTATTTTCTCTATCAAGACTGAAACATTCTACATAGCACCCATACCATGGAAAACCGAACTGTTTTGCTCTACTGTAATCAAAACAATCTGAGGCCACTCGGAGAGGGATTGGTTGGGGGAGGGGGTGGCTATAGCAGGGTGACTAAGCACAGCCCCAGGGGGAATCCTGAGCAGGCAGCTTAGCTGTGCGCTCTTGGGCACTGTATCAGTCTACTATGGCTGCCCTAATGAAATACCACACCGGGGGCACAAACAGCAGAAATTTATCTTCCCACAGTTCTGAGAACAGAAGTAGATAAAAGGGTTGGTTCCTTCTAAGGCCTCCCTCCTTGGCTTGCAGATGGCTGCCTTCTGTGTCTTCACATGGCCTTTCTGTGTGTGTGTCTTAATTTCCTCTTTTTACAAGGGCACCAGTCACATTGGATTAGGGCCCACCCTAAAGACCTCACTGTAACTTAATTGCCTCTTTAAAGGCCCTGCACCAAAGAGTCACACATTGACTTACTGGGGAGTAAGATGTCAACATAAGATTTTGGGGGGACATAATAGCCCGTAATAGGTACCTAAATTTGGATTATATGTATAAAGCACAGAGGTATTCTATGAATGATAAAAAATTACTAGTCTAATTAACTGAGTTGGGGCTTTGCATTTTTTTTCTCAGAACAGTATTTTATCAGGAGAGGGCCACAGGCCTTTCTGAATGCTCTTGGCCATCACCTGAGTAGTGCCAGACAGCCACCAAAACAGAAAGTTTGCCCGTCAGGCTTTTGGCACTTCGAAAACCTTACTTACTCCATGGGAGCAATGTCATATGCAGCTGTTGCAGTGAAATTCAAGAGACAGGTGTCTGGGCACAGGGAAGAAGCTGACCTTATTGACATCTACATTATTTGAAGCCTCACAACAGTCCTGTGGCAAAGAGGGCATCCCCCATTTCTGCAGATGGGGAAATGAATGCTAAAAAAGATCAGGGACTGGTCCAACATAGCCAGTGAAGAGGCACAGACCTGTGCTCCTAATAAAGGTAACAGTCAAGAACACAGCTGTTAGAGGCTGCAGTGCCACATGGCTTCTATGGGAAATACATGGCAGGACTCTGAACTGAGGAGTCAAGAATCTGTTCTCACAATGCCCCACTGGCCCTCCTAAACAGCGAGGAACACTTCCTCTGATTCTAGGAGATGGAAATGGCCCCTGTCTCCCCAGGTGGAAGTGGGGCTGAGGTTTAGGGAATGAAGATTTGGGCTAAGAAATGTATCGCGAGTAACCATGAAGCCATATGACCAATGCCATGTGACAGCTGGTATCTCAAAGGGCATGTTCTGAATGTAGAACCGGCAGTGTGGGTCACGTGTATGTGACAACAGCAGTGCTGCTGTGCATCCAAGACGGAGAGGAGCGAGGAGTAAACATGAGTCCTGAGCCCTAGATGACCAGCTGTGTCCGGTCTCCAAACGATGTTTCTGACTTGAAGGTAAATCTGTTACCTTTTAGGGAAAGAGCTGCTGTGGGAATTCCACTGTTCCCACTTTCTCTGTGTGTATATTTTTACTACACACCTTCTGCTCTGTTTCTTCTTTAATGAAAGTCATACCATTGACTTCTCCCAGTTGAAAAATAACTTGAACTCCAATGTAATTTTAACAAGGATCAGGTGAATTTTTTCCTCTTAAAATTTTACATATTTTCCCAGTAGGAGAGACGAATCCTCACATCCATTTTGCAAAGGCTCGGCCCATCTTTATCTACTGTAAGTAAACAGTAGATAACCCAAGCTTGGCAGACCAGAGGCCCTCTCTGACCAGCTTCACTTGCCCCATCTCTGCTCTGTATTTCAGAAGAACACAATTTCCAGGAGATTCCCTTGGGGCCTGCCTACCTTGGCCCAATCCTGACTTCCTGTGCAGCCTGGGCCGTGAATGGGAAGAACCCCCAGGAGGAGGCCTGCATGGCCTGGCTTTACCCTTCACTACACCCTCTCCTCTCTCTCAGGTATAGGAGCCTCACCTTGCAGGACACCAGGTGGTTGCAGTCCCTGCCACACTGGACTTACTGAGCATGAGGGAGTAGTAGTGTGACCAAAATCTGGGACTCCAAATAATGTGCTTTTCTTTCAGTTCTCTAAACAGAAAATCCAACTGCACAGTTGCAGCTTCTGCTGTGGCATACTTTGAATAAACCATATTATGAATGAGAATATCTAGAATGCAACCATTAGGAAGCCTTTCCAATTGCTGGTGTGCTGTATTAGGTGATGGTAACATTTTTTGCAAAGCAATGATTTCCTCCACAGCGTGTTCAATAATTAGTATAAACTGCCACGGCTTTGCACAAAGAAGACAAAGAAGGAATGGAAATCACTGTTAAAAAAAAAAAAAAAAGACATTGTCACACATGGCATGAGTTTAGGAGTGACCAGGATTTTAGCTTCTACCCTGGAAAGTAGGCTCTGAAAACATTTCAGCTTCCTCAATTCTATAATCATGAAATTGTGGCATTTAAGATCTAGAAGAAATCAGCCTGCTCAGTTGTTTCAGACTGTTGCTGTGGAGAGTGGCCTGGAGTCCTGTGTGTGCTGCCTAGGCGGCCAGGAAGACATAAGAACCCAAATCCCCTTGCCCCCTACATGGGCCCCCCACCTCCGCCCCCAGCAGCTCCAATGTTCTCTCTGCTCTACCAGAGGTCCTGGGCAGGATGGTGCTGGGCAATGCGTTCTACAGATGAAGTGGGTGAAAGTCTCGGAGAGGCCAAGTGCTTGCCCCAGGCGTCCCGGCTAGTCAGCAGCCAGGCTGGACAGCAAGGACACACACCTCTGAGGATGAGCTGCCTGG